ATGAAAGTTCAATGGTGTAATCTTTAGTTTGGACTCCCCATCATTTTCAGTCGTTCATCTGGTCTGGATGGTTCGATCTGGTCTAATTCCAAACCGGTGAACAGTCCTAGATAAAACAATTGACTCATACTGTTATAGACTCGTTTGTGGGTCGTTCTTATTACCGAAAAGGCAAATAAGGAGCTGATATGGTTTACATTTATCCTATTTTGGAAACCTATCTCTTAGTTAGGAAAGTTTATCTCTTATTTAGAAATTAATTTTTATTATATAGTTAAGGTTTATCCTATTCTGTAAACATATCTCTTAGTTAAGAAAATCTATCTTTTATTTAGGAATTTAATTTTTATTTTAGAGAATTATATCCCACTAAGGAATCTTCTTGATTTTTACTATAAGAAACCTAAATAGTAAAGATTTTCAATAATGTAATGTATCTAATCCTATTTAGAAATTCTTAGCCTAGCCGAGTTACTTCAGTCCTTGGCCCTTCCCACTCAAATTTAGGCAGATATTGCAATGGACTTCATCAACGGATTACCAAAGGTTTGGAGAAAATCGGTTCTTTTTATTGTTATAGACAGATTCTCAAAGTATCCACACTTTACTCCACTGGCTCACCCATATACTGCAACAAGAGTTGCCCAAATTTTCTTATAACAGATCATCCATTTTCATGGCATTCTAGAGACAATCACATGTGATTGAGATGTTCTGTTCACAAGCAATTTTTAGAGGGAATTCTTCTGTTTAGTGGTATAAAACTTGCTTTTTTTCGGCTGGTATACCACCCAGAAACGGACAGTCAAACCGAGGTGCTAAATTGTACAATTGAAATGTATTTGCATTGCTTCATGGGGAATAAGCTTATGAGCTAGATTCAGTGGCTTCCATGGGCTGAATTCTACTACTACACATCATTTTATACTGCACTCCAGAGCACGCCCTTCAAAGTGGTATATGGACGCGAACCGCCACGTTTCCTTTCATACACACTTGGGTCCTCTCAAGTCGATGCGGTAGGTGAAGCATTACTTACCCGAGATCAAGTCTTGATCGAGATCCGGGTTAAACTGCAGCAGGCACAGACTCGTATGAAGGAAATTCCATAACAAGGGGCATCAAGATGTAACCTATGAGGTAGGGGATCTTGTGTGGCTCCGTCTGCAACCGTATCACCAGCATTCTGTCTCATTGGCACCCCGCCATAAGTTGTTTATGAAGTTCTATGACCCATTTTCCATTCTACAGCATGTGAGAACCGTTGCATACAAGCTTTGACTACCAGCTGAGTCCAAGCTTCATAATGTCTTCCATGTTTAGCTTCTCAAAACCTTTTAAAGGGAGACCTCCAGCCTCAATTCCCTCGCTACCTCTAGTGGAAAATGGTCGTATTATCCCTACTCCAGCTTCAGTATTGTGCACCCGACTTAATAGAAGCACCTGGGAACTTCTAGTGCATTAAAACAGAACGGATGTAGCTGATGCTACTTAGGAAAACCGTGAAACCTTCCAGACTGCTTATCTAGAATTTGAGCTTGCGGACAAGCTCTTTCTTTAGAGAGAGAGCGATGTTATAGACTCCTTAGTAGGTCGTTTTTATTTGAGAAAAGGAAATAAGGAGCTGATATGGTTTAGATTTATTCTATTTTAAAAACCTATCTCTTAGTTAGGAAAGCTTATCTCTTATTTAGAAATAAATTTTTATTATATGGTTAAGGTTTATCCTATTATGTAAATATTAGTTAGGAAATTATCTCTTATTTAGAAATTTAATTTTTATTTGGGAAAGTTATCTCTTAATTAGAAATCTCCTTGATTTTTGCTACGAGAAACCTAAATAATAAAAATTTCCCATAATGTAATGTATCTAGTTCTATTTAAAGAGTTCTACAATTAATAAAGAGATAAACATAATTATAATTACAATATGGAGATTGGAGCTTTCTCTAACGAGATCCAAGGTGCCAAGCTCCCTTTGATGAGTTTGTAAATAATTTACAATAGGTCGGTCAAGAAATAATAACAAGGAAAAGAAGCAAAATCCGGAATCAGATTATTCGGTAAACCGCCTGGTGACAAGATCCTGGTCTCAAAAACATAACACATACCTTGATTGTGATAATGATTCATGACCCCTTGATGACTCAAGATTACAACTCCTTCAACAATTATATTCTAAAATAATCTTGATTTAGCCAATAAACAATCTAATAAACTTCATTCCGACGATAGTTATGATATTACTAATATATTCCTATCTAATACAAAGAACCAAATATGTTGTACATTGCTAGAGACTTACACCTAACCTCAAAGTGGAATTAAATTGAATTTGATTAAATAAAGACTCTTGGATATTCACTTTGCCGTCTGCAGATGTATATGATAAACAAAATAAAGTTTAAATTTACCAATAAAATTTACCTCAAGTGAAACTGAATGCTTTTGAGCAGTTGAGCAAAAACAATCCTGAACAGAAGTCACTTGAATCGCCGACTTGCCTTTAAAGTCTATGCCTTTATCATCACCCTGCAAGGTGCTAGAACTAGGAGTCACATGAAAAACTCCTTCCACTAAATCCTGAGCACTTGAAAAATCTTCACATATGCAATGCGCTTTAAGGATTTTACTATCATTTTCCACCTCAACTGTCATATTTGTCGTCAAGCGTTCTGCAGACATATCAAATGATCCATAAGCACAAATGTGATTTAAAACCAACAAAAATATCTGTCTATTGAGCCAACTGTCTAACAATACACTAACCAGTGTTTTCATGATATAACACAAAATGGTAGGAAATGATAATCAGTTCTCAGTCCTTGTACAAAGAAGAAAGTTTAGGTGCTTGAAGCATTAGAAATTTTATCCATACAGGATACCGTGATTATAGTCTGTCATTGGCTAAAAACAGAAGAGAAAGAGGACAGACTCGTAACTGTCATTGTTAGCATAAAATGAACTGAACATTTTTTAAGAGGAAAAATAAACTGAATATTCTCTTTTTTTTCCATTTCTTTATTGGACGGAAAATGAAGAGGATTTAAGTGAAAGCTCAGGTTTTTACAATATAACTGTGCCGGTGTCAATGGAGACATGTGAGGAAGACAAGGAGAAAGAATATCTAAATGAGATCACAGCTTTTACGATAAAAGCTTAGGCTTTTACAATATTAGATAGGTTCGTAGATTGGTAGGATAAGATAGATGGCTAGGACAGGACAAGTTACTAATTGGTTAGATTCTTAACCTACTATATGTTTGAAATTTTTAGGTAAGAAAATAACTAGTACAGCATAAAAGACCACATTATCCTCTGATGTCAGTAAGGGACAAGGAGAAAGAAGATTACTTGTTATTTCTGCTATAAATGACAGCCTTTTTGTGCACCTTTTATATCAAGAAAATAGGAAATAATCTTACATTAAAGATACTATACATTAGACCTAATAACTACGAATAACTAAGAGACATGATATAGAACTATCCCTAAAATTACTTCCAAAATCTCTGATCAAAATATACAAAATTATTCCTAAAATCACTAGCCAAGACTCCCCCTCAAGGCATATATTGGTATTGCAACATGCCCAACTTGCAAACCATGATATGGAAGGATCTACTACCAAGTCCCTTAGAAAAGAAATTTGCTAGTTGATTTTTGAGATCATGTGACGAACATCCAAAATTCCATGGACTGTATCCGGAAGAAAATAATCATAGGCCTTTCTTTGAAGGCATTGAATGGGAACCCAATCCCTTTTGATTAAGCCAAGAGGACAGAGAGACCACAAGATAAGGCAGGCAGTGGGCCTTAGGAAGTGACAAAACACCAGGCTCTGACGAATTTACCTTAGAGTTCTTAAGGATTGTTGGGATGTGGTAAAAGAAGACTTGATAAAAGTTTTTGAGGAGTTCTTCATAAATGATAAATATATAGTATGAACTCTACTTTTATCACCCTAGTCCCTGAAAAAGATAAATCTAAAAAGGTGTCCGATTATAGACCAATAAGCCTAGTGACAAGTGTTTACAAAATCATTGCAAATATTCTCACTCCAAAACTCAGGGTGTCTCTTGATCATATGATTTCCATTAATCAAAGTGCCTTTGACGGGGGCCAGACAGATCCTAGATGTGTCCTTAATGGCAAATGAGACTATAGAATACAGCAGGAGATCTAGAGGAAAAGGGACAGTTTTGAAGCTTGATTTCTAGAAGACTTCTGACCGGGTGAATTAGAGATTCTTGGATAGAGTATGGAGAGAAAAGGGTTTGTCAACAAATGGAGAAGGTGGATAAAGGGATATTTGTCCTCTTTCTGTTTTTTGGTGATAATTAATAGGACACTAAATGAATGGGTTAAGGTCTCTAGAGATTTAAGACAAAGGTGGGTCTCAACAACTGGGTATTAGAGTAGGTTGATTTTGACGAAACTCTTGCAAGTTTCATGGTCATGGTGAAAAATAAGAGTAAAGCTACAGTGTTCAAACCCCGTACGACACCCATTTTGGAGGGAAATATGCGTGGTAAACCAAAAGTTTTCGGACAGGTCCAAAATGTATAAATCACAATAGCAAACCCGAACTATGGTTGACTAACAACTGATTATTTTTTATCAACAATTGGAAATGCTCATTGAAATCTTACAAACCAGCATGTGGATTGGCAAAACAACCACTCAGATAAATTCCTCCGCCTCTATTGTAAATATTAATAAATAAATATTACAGAACCCTAACTAAAGAAACTGGGGTTGGTAGCTGAAGTTAGAAAGGTAATCAAGCTGGTAACGATATCTTGAAAATTGAAATTCCTATTTTTGATGGAAAAACTCCTAGAACACATATCAGAATATGCAACAAGTATTTCCATACTTTCAACATCCCAGAAGACAGTAAAGTGGAAACAGCTTCAATGTATCTTGAAGACAAGACATAAATCTAGTTTCACACATTAGCAAATGACTCAAATATGTTTGAATGGAAAGTATTCAAAGTAGAACTGATATGAGCAGAGGATGGGCAACTCACGAGAATCGAACTTTTATCTTTTCAAGAGTCTTTTTATGACAAGAAATTACTCAAATATGTTTGAATGGAAAGTATTCGAAGTGGAACTGATATGAGCAGAGGATGGGAAACTCACGAGAATCAAACTTTTATCTTTTCAAGAGTCTTTTTATGACAAGAAATTGCAGCAACATGAATGTTGGAGTCGGATTAGCATTCTAGAGTCCAAGAGGATTTTCTACTTTAAGAAATTAATTAATTAAAAAGAGTTGAAATCATAAAAATGGAAGGAAACCCAAAGGAGGAAAAATTCATATTCCTAATCAAATTCTCACCCTTAATTTTCTCATGAATAATACTGATTTTTATCCTAAAATTCTTTTCCTAAATTTTCTCCTAATTTTCTCATGGAAGAGAAATTATTTTCTACTTCAACTTGGAAGCTTCTAAAGCATCTTCAACTCAACTTCTTCAACAACAATTAATTAAATATTGAAATCCAAATCCAAGTTCAATAAAGCATGGATAATTCAACTACAACCCTACCGCTTTTCGAGAGAGAAAACCTTTTTTTTAATTATATTTATGCTTCTTTAAATTAATATTTTATTAGATTCCTAAATAAGAATGTATTTAAAATTTTTCTAGTATTTAGTTTTTGAATTCTATTATGATTAGTAAAGCTTATACCTATATAAAGGTTTTACTCCTTTGGTTTTAGACGTCGAAGTTTGAGATCAATAAAACTAAACTTTTAACTTTAGTTAGTCGTTTGCTAAGTTTCTCTTTAGGGAGCTTTCTTCAACTTTCTTGTTGAGTAATGAATTGATGTCTACTTATCAAGATAATTTGTTGAGTTTTTCATTAATTTTTTTCTTGAGTTCATTTGAACTTATTAAGATATTTCTTATGGCGTTCTATTCAATTCAATTTATCCCAGTTACTTTAATTTGCATTTACAAGTTGAATGCGGTTAAGTAGGGAAGGTTTTCTTTTTGAAATAAGTTAAATAAAAAGGGTTTATTTAGAGATTTAAGATTCTACATGCTAATGTTATATGTGGAGTTTTGGATTGAAAGTGTTGATTCCGGATTCCACATCACTTGATACCAAAGTTTAGGTATTAGATAGATCTTACTATCTTTCATAATCTATCCTTACATATTTATTTCATTGGTTATTACTTTACATATCTTTGTATCCATTCCTACCCATCAAGAAAAAAATTACAAAAAAAAAATCATCTTCATAGTGTCTTTCCTTGCACTCTAAATTTTCTCATGAAAGAGAAATTATTTTCTACCTCAAGTTAAAAGCTTTTAAGGCATATTCAACTCAACTTCTTCAACAACAATTAATTAAATATTGAAATACAAATCCAAGTGAAATAAAGTATGGAGAATTCAACTACAACCAAATTAATATTTTATTAAATTCCTATATAAGAATATAATTAGAATTTCTCTAGTATTTAGTTTTTGAATTCTATTAGTCGAAGGTTTATGCCTATATAAAGACCCTACTCCTTCAGTTGTAGACATCGAAATTTGATATCAATAAAATTAGGTTTTTATCTTTATTTAGCCGTTGGCTAAATTGCTCTTTACGGAGGTTTCTTCAACCTTCTTCTTGAGTAAGGAATTTATATCTACTTATCAAAGTAATTTGGGGCGTTTTCATCAATTTTTTTCTTGAGTTGATTTTAACTTATCAAGATATTTGTTATGACATTTTAATCAATTCAATTTATCCCAATTAATTTAGTTTGCATTCACAAGTTGAATGTCAGTTAAGTACAAAAGGTTTATTGAGAGATTTAAGTTTCTGCAAGCTGATGTTATAAGTGGGATTTTGGATTGCATGTATTGATCTCGGGTTCCAAATCACAAAAAGAAACTCAGACCAATAGTGAGGATGCATAGATCGTGTACCTTGTGATCAAGGATGAGCTTTTATTATTATATTATTTTAATTTTTATCTTTTTCTATTTTTA